AATTATTTAAATAATATATAAGATTGTATAAAAAAATAATATAAAAAATTATTCTTAAATCATTTTCTTAATATTGTTTTCATGATTAATTCAAGGAATAAATTAGTGTAAAGACTAAAAAAAATGTAAAATCAAAAAGTAAGAGAATAAAATTCACATTTAACCAATAAAAAATCATCAACTTTGGAGCTTTGAAGGAAGTCATAAAGGACTTTTTTTTTTTTCTTTTTGAGGAATTGGAAATAGTCACAAAGGACATTTATTACACGAAAAGAACATAAAAAAAGATGTGTACCAAATAAAAGAAAAAGGACATAAAAAAAGATGGCAGGGAAAACAAAGAATTTGAAAAGTAAAAGGAGAAGGAACCTTACCAGAGGAAAAGGGATAAGCGTGGACAAGTTAAGTTCCATCCAGAAAGAGAACCTTTGGGGCCCTTGTCATGCTGTTGGGGGTCACTATTTATGCATATCTGTCTGTCTCTTTGAAGGGCCATTTTATGGCCACAAAATTAAGTATATATGTTCAATTTGTCTGATAAATTTTTAAAAGATTTAGAAATATTAATTTATAGTTAATTTTAAATTATCAAATAATAAATAATAAAATATCAATTATTTTATTTTTCATTAATTTTTTATAACAATTAAATTAAATAAACTTAAATTATTTTTAAATGACAAACAATTCATTATTTAAGCACAACCAGGCCGTCTTTGAGCTCTAGTGCTATGCTTTTAAAATGTTTAAACTTTAAACTACCTTCCATTGAATACTTTATTTGTTCTCTCCCTTACCAATACCATCCAAGAGATTTCCATTGGCTACAGCAAGATTAAAATAATAGTCAAAAGGTCATCATCTCTTATCTAAGATTCTGATCTTGTGGTGGTGTGTGATTGGGAACCAGAAAGATTTTCTAAAAGCAGCTTTCTTGTCATTTCTTTTCCAGGGCATCTTCACAGAGATGAATGCATCTATGCTAATCCTCCTAACAAACACATGGCAAAACAGTAGCGAAATATGAACATTGATTTTCTTTGCAAATACAAGATAAAATAGAAAAAAGGGACCTTCGGTTTCATGGGAGAGGACCCAAAAGAGTATCATTGCAGTCTTACTTCAGTCTTTTGTTTCTCAGTTCAGGTATAGAATAAATTTGCTTTGGATTGAGGTTGAAAAGGGAATAAAAGAATATTATAGACAGTTCCCAACTCAAAAGTAGATTATGAAATGAAACTTCATAAAAGAAAATTGAGAGATACTCCAAAGTAGATTATGAAGCTTTACGGGAAAGAAACTGAGAGAGAAAACTATGTAAAGAAAATGTGAATAAAAATAAATATCGATAAGCCTTTTTGACAAAGAGGTAAAGTCAGGATAAACGAAGAATACATAATTGCATCATGTCATAGAAAAAACTCAATTATTGTAAATTAATTAACCTTTATTAACCACTATATCAAGATAGGACAAAAATTAGAAATGAACACACATGCTTCATTTCATTTCAATTAGATCCGGGGTTATACTTATACAGAGTTACACTGAAATAGAAACCAATTTTAGACAATTATTTCTCTATCAAATGTGAGTTGTGAGTGGAGGAGTAGAGGCAGTTCACTAATACAAGGGAGAGTTAAGAATCTAACCATTTTCTTCTTCTTCTAGCTCAACATAGCTCTGAAATTCTTCATCTGGTTGGCACCATGCAAAAGAATTCACAGAACACAGAAGGCCAGTTATCCTCCCTAAACAGGCTTTCTCTTGTGCCCAGCTTTGCTATCTGATCTCAGAGCCCCGCTTGAATCCCCTTCAGATGATGCTTCCATGGACTTGGTAAAGGAGCTGGAAAGGTCAGCATAGAGGTCAACCACTCTCCTTATGTTGTTGTTGAGCTCCTTGATTAGACCAACATTTCTGCTTAGGTTGTCAGGCATCTTGGACTCATGGTTCTGGTTTATCTCGTTGATAAGCAGCCTATTCTGGTCCAAGATATTCTGTACCTGCACAAAATTCTTCTGAAATGTCTGCATGATCTTGCCATCTATCTGGTTACCATTCCCATCCCTTGAAAATGTATCATCCTCCATTCTTCTTCTTCTTCTTCTGAGTCAGAGAGTAGTTCCTACCAAATCAGACAATCCCTACATCCACACCCAAGAAGAAGAAGAAGAAAAATATGTGAGAGGAAAATAAAAGATGAGACGGTGGTTGTGAAGTATTCTTTATATTATTGCTAATCTTGATCTATTTTAATAAAAATTACCCATAACCATATATTCCTCATCTGGACACCTTTGCTGTTTATATCAAGCAAAAACCCCAGACAAAACTCGGAGAGATGTTGGAATTGTTTAAGGCATTTTGGGCAAATGAGACAAAGGCAGGCCTGTAGTAGAAATCATGACCCTCCACCTCCATAGGTTTAACTTTTTTCACAGGAGAGGAATAACAAACATGAAATTATTATTATATTAATATTATCATTGCTCCATTAATAGTATTATTTATTTATGATGAGATGTGAAAAATAAAGCAGATCCCATTTCCATAAAAGGGAACCTTTTTAATGTTCCTCAGAAAATGCCCACCTAAAGCAGAGTTTCTAGGAAGAATCTCTCAAAGACCCAAAAAGAAAAACTAAGTCTAATTATGTTATATGCACCGAAGGAAGATGATGAGCCTGAAATGAAGAGAGAAAGAGAGTACAATCTGCTTCAGAGAGACAGAACAGAAGCCATTATTATCTCCTCCTAGCTAAGAAATTCAAGAACCAAGACAAAAACAACAAAAATGTACGTAATTTTAAAAAACCCAAAACTGCAAATCAGCTGTTTTGCCTGAAAATTCCGAGAAAACAAAGAGAAAATAATAACCCAATTGGGCATTCGAAACGTTTGAAAACCGTACAAGTTGCAGCAGGAGAAAGAATCACAAATTCCCAAAGTAGAAAACAAAAACCCATCAGTAAAGCAAGATCTCTACAGAAACTGAAAACAGAATCCAAATTTCAAATCCCATAAAGAAAGAAAAAAAAAGTCATTGTTAAAAAACAGAAAGATCAAAGACAACACAAAAAACCATTAATTACTTTCAAAAATGAAAACAGAGACAAAGAAACAGATTTCATGTATAAATTTTTTATTCTTTCCTGAGTTGTTCCTTGAACGCAAACAGAAAGTATTTCGTACCTTGAAAATCTGGAGCATTTTAAATTTCGGGAGCCGATGCAGATTGAAAGAGGGCGACGAGGGATTCCCGAGGATGAGTGGAAAAGATCGACGATTGAATCAGGGGACTCTGAATTATGAGAGAGAATATGTAGATTTGACAGTCACGCTCGGACCCCTTCTTTGTGTGTAGTAAATAAATACTATTTTTGCTTTTGAAAATTCTACTTCCTCTCATCCTATCATGGGAGTACTTTCATTGTTACTTATTTTTCTTTTCGAATTGATTAGCACATGGGAACCTATTTTATTGGATGAGGTTTATCAAAATATAAAATAAAAATTATTATATAAAAAAATATTAATGTTGAAAGATTTAAATTTATTTAATAATTTATATTATATAATTTAGTATAGTTAAAATTGTATAATATTTTTTTTTTGTT